GCGCGACCGCGGTTCGGGAGAGACAGTGGCCCTTACAGTTCGTTGGTGCAGTTGGCTGGCTTATCCATCCTGTGTCCTTCCTTAAGCAGCTTAAAAAGTTCCTCCACGGGAATCCCTGGGTAGGGCGAGCCCCCGAGAGTGAAGATCTCCCACATCAACACCCCGAAGGACCAGCTGCAAAGAAGGGGTAAAACAGTGTTACTAACCGCAGAAAGCCAGGCCTGCCCACTTAAGACAGTAACTGCCCACTCACATCTTATGTTCAAAGACAAAGGACCTGCGCCCTCCTGCCGTTCATCCTACATGCCCCTTCCTGCCCCCAAGGTGGATCTCCAGATGAGGACAACCTGGGGTGTCCCAATGAAATTTTCCATCAACAGACGAGTGATGGTAAACTATCACTCCTTTTTTTTTTTTTGGTAGAGACTTAGGATTGTTGGGGTTTTTTCCTCCCATCGCTCTAAAATTATTCGTCTTAAATGCGGTGTAGACAATGTGCAGATCTTGACACCTAAGCTGCACGGCTCTTCGTGCCCCTGTCCACCGCTTCCATCGGCCTATGTGCCTAGCCCCAGGGCTGTGACCTACCAGGATGGGCAGCTGACAGAATCAGGCCGGCAAGTTACAGCTGCCTTGGTGGCCAGTGAATCTGAGGGCACAGAAGTTCATGACTTGCTAACGTCGTGAAGGACGCTGGCACCAGGCTGGCATTAGCTAGGATGGACGAACCCTGTGCCCCAGGCGAGTTTCATACAATAGAAACTGAAAACGTCCCTCGGGGCACAATTTGTACGTGACCTGGCAGAGACCTATGGTGGGACGTTCTGAGTCTCATTCAGAGGCTCAATCCGCGCTGAGACTCCTGCCTCTACCTACGCTGCTGTGGCGCTGGCGACAGCCTTCCTGACTCTATCAGGGTGTTTCGGAAACGACGCCGTGCCATCTGTGCAGGGCCAGAGCAGGAGCATGACACAGGTGACGCTGCAACATGGGAACCGTAACGCCCTCCCGCCAGGCCTGAGGAGGCCCCACGGTGACAGCATGGCATCAGCGCCCACGCCACAAATCCTCCCGCTCGCACAAAACACAGCTCTACAGGGTTTTTTGGGGGGAGGGGTTTGTTGTTTCTTTTTTTACTTTTTATTTTGGAATAATTAAGAGACTCATGGAAACCTGGAAAAACAGTAGAGAGATCCTCTGTACTTTTTACCCAGCTTCTTACAATGGTGTAAATTCTTTCAACCAAATCTCCAATTCTAAAATACCAGTTGGAGCCTGACTCTGAGTGTATTTTTAAGTGTTTCATAACAGACAGAAATAGTATACAGTTTTCACCATATTTCTATAATCAAGGGTGCCAAGACAAGATCAGAATTTTTTCAAAGGATAAACAAAGTAAGCGGGCCCTGCAGAGATGACCTGAGCAGGACTGTATCCCACTCAGCCTCTCCCGCTAAGGACAAACCTGAGATGACCAGGAGGAAAGTGTCAGGGCTCCTTCATCAAGACAGTGAAGAACATGCCAACGGCCTGGCAAATTAGAAAGCGGCTCTGCTTGGGGAGGGGATGGGGCTTCCGCTCTGACAAGAAGAGCTGAGCGGTCCCGTGTCCTGTGACTTTGAAGCCAGGCAGATTAGTAACAGAGCATTGGTTACCAGCCTACCATAAAATCCGTCCTTTCTAAGGCCAGCTCCTGCGCCCTCTATGCATGTGTGAGACGCAGCAGGCGCCAACGGATGAAGAAGGGCGAAGAACGTGCGCTATTTTGGCAATTCGATCCAGTGCAGAAGCCAGAGAAAAGGGCGTTACTTACACATCGCTCTGATGGGTGTACACTCTGTCAAAAAGGGCTTCTGGAGCCATCCACTTGACCGGAAGTCGCCCCTGCGAGTGTGGGAGAAATGAAAAAATATATTGAAACCAGTTTACAGGCTCACCCAGGCTCTGCCCTATTTTAAGAGCTGATGCCCTAATGATTTTCACTGGTCAGTCACAGCAGAAATAAGCTCCAACTGAGACTACACATAATGTGTGAGACGCATAGATTTGGGCACATTAAAAAGGGAGGTGTGTTTCCTTGGATTCTCGTTATCATCAATCTCCCTAGCACACAGATACACTCTGACCAACATCTAGGCAAAATTGACCCAGACATTCCCAAACTCTAATCTTTTTGCTAAGAAAGTTCTTGACAAAAAGCCTTCTGACCAACATCTAGGCAAAACTGACCCAGACATTCCCAAACCCTAATCTTTTTGCAAAGAAAGTTCTTGACAAAAAGCCTCATGAAGATCCTAGAGGCTGCAGATTATTCTGTATATGCGTGTTTCATATATATTAAAGGTTTCTTAAAGATGGCCCAAATCTGCTCACTGAGTAGTCTGTGAAGAGTTAAGGCGAAAGAGCAGAAGTGGAGGGCAGATAAACGAGCCTTCATCAGTGCTTCCAGCTCCGAACATCCATCACCCTTCTTCTGGAACATTCTGCACCACCCTTCCCCCTTTCTGCCGTATCACCGCCACAGACTTACATTTGTGGTCTTTTTGTAATAGTCTATATTGTTGATATCTCTGGCCAGTCCAAAGTCTGCTATTTTCATAACGTTGTTTTCTGTTACCAAAACATTTCTGGCTGCTAAATCTCGATGAATACACTGAAATCGAGAAAAAACTCGTTTTAAAATGCTTCGAGAATAAAGAAGAAATACACTCATGTCTCATAACACATCTTAAGTTGAAAGCTGGTATCTCTTTTCTAGTTAAAAATGAAAAACCAAGGCCCCAATATTTTCAAAGAGCACAAGCTAAGTCACCACGTCCTCCTTTATCTGCAGCTGACTGACACCAATGGCCTCCCTCCTACAAGATCTGTAGTAGATTTTATCCTAAAATCTTTTATCTCAACACCTGATCTTCTGTCCTTTATAGCCAAACTTTCACAAGAGCTGGATGAACTCCAACATCACACGGTCTTCACCTCCTGGTCACTCCTTAGACATTCCAACCTGTTCCCATCTCGTCCCTCCTAAAGACTGCGAAGAACTTCTTGTCAGACCCAAATGTCCTCTTCTTCCACCCCAATGTTCCCCTCTCTGCAGTTCCCGACACTGTTGATTTCTTGCTCGTTTCTGAAAACAGTCTACCCACTGGGTTCCCTCGCATGCCTTCTCTTGGCTCACACAATTCCTCTCTCCCCACCCTCTTGGATTCTTTGGCCACCCCCTCTCTTCCTCTGTCCTCCAAGAATCGTCCCATCAATTGTGTATATTTCCATGTAGCCTGATGGCTTCGATTCTTAGAAACATACAAGAAATGAGCTAATTCTTCTCTCCATCCTGACTTATCTCCGGGGACCCATTTTCTCATTTGCAACGGGTTGTGGGACATTTCCACTTCGATGGCCCTTTGGCACCTCAAATTCAAGGTCCCTACTCCCTTAATTCTTATCCTCTTGGTCTCTCTTGGTCAGAGAGGTATACACCAGAATTCTTCACATGCTCCTCTCAAGTTCTGCTGATTTCAAGCTTCAAACGTCTATCTAATTTGTCCACCCACTCCATTCCCACTGTTAACTGCTTATGCCAGGCCGTCATCACTGTCCACTGCCCCAAACCCACACACAGCCACACTGCCTACCTGACAGGTCCCCACGCTCCCAAACTCAGCCCTATTTGTACCATCCGTGCTTCCTGCAAATGGTGTTTCTGAAAGAACTGATCGTGTCCTTTCTTGCCTTGTATCATGGCCGATAACTGTCTATCCATATTCTCAATCCAGACCTAGCACAAAGGGCCAAACCTATGTCTGCCACACAAAAATGCTGAAATGCTCGCCACAGGGCAGCTGATTTGCAGTCCTAATGCTAACTCTTCGGTCTCAGATAGGTCTAGTGATTATAAGTTCTATTTTTCCTTTCTACAAATAATATGCTTTGTAAACTGCTGTTTTAGTTGCACTTTAGTTAGTATACCAAGATTCCATCATGATTCATGGTAATTAGGACCCCAAATCCTCACCCCCTATTTTTGGAAAAGGTATACAGAAGCCAACAAATATCCCTGTGAAATGCTTTTACGCAGGCGCCCGGCGAAGGTTAACAATCGTATGGAGTCTTATCAATCCATCTGACGACGGGGAAGCGGGGCCGATTCCACACAGGCGCTCTGCAAAACGAACTGGAAAAGGAGCGAGCCAAACACTCTGAAGAATGAATTGGGAATTCTTCTGCCTGCACCCCCTCCCGTTCCTTGTTCTCATGCACTTCTGTGGCCCCCTGGATGGGCTGAGATCAGAAAAGAGAAAGCAGGAAAACTCCACGACGGTGCCTGTGCCTGGCCAGGACGGAAGCAGGAAACGTGAGAGCTCCCAGCAGCCGCCTGGGGAGCCGGCTGGGGTGGGAGCTGTGCTCCTGGTTCTGGAGGCCTCTTCAAACTGAACTTGCAAACCCTGGGCCAGACTCCTCCGGCAGCATGCTCCCCGCCGACACCAGCTCTGTGCGTCTGGCAAGTGTGTGGTCAGTAGAACCTGGCTTCCCATGCACTGGGCTCCATCCACACGGGGCTCGACTCAGAGACACCACGATGGCGACCTCTCCCATCTTCTCTGTAAGAGCCGGATCCGGCACCCACCTCCTGCCTCCCAGGGTGCTAGGGAACGCCAAAGCCCACCCTCTGGACTGAGCAAGAAGAGACTTGGAACCAAAGCCAAGTAAAAGAAAATTAAGTCAAGCCAAATTCCCATCACGTGCAGAAATCCGAGTTGTTCTCCAGCGCAGAGACCTGACCACTCTGCAGAACGAGGGCCCTCTGAATGGTCCTCCATTTCCTTAATAAGTGAGGGTCAATGAGTCACTAAGGGAAGGAAGACTAACACCCCTGTGACCCAGACAGTGTGCTGGGTGCCTCTGCACGCCTGACCGCATTCAATCACGAGCTATGAGATGGAAAAGCTGGGGCCTGCTTTAAAAAAATCCGCTCAGGTGTAGCACCTTGGAGGTTTAACTGCTTTGGGAATTTGGCAAAAAAAGAAAAATTAGTGTATTTTAAACTAAAAATAGCAAAGCTTTCATAATTTGTATAAGGCTCAAATACCCCATTACCTAACTATTACTGTACACAGCGTGGCGTTTACTTGTCCACCCGCAGTGCCTCCCACACACCACCAAGCTGCGCGAGGATGGGCACCGAACGCTCACCTCTGAATTCCCAGCACTGAGCCCAGAGCCTGTCCCAGAAAATGTTCGCTGAACTGAATTCATAATTATACTCCCTCAGCAACGAGCCAGAGGTCTCACTCATCAAGAGTTTGGGGGGTTTATTTTTTCGCCCTTTCCTCCAGACCCAGGTCCCTCACGAGCTCATGGCTACCCACTGTGAGGGCAAGGGCGTGCGGAGGCCAGGCCCTGACTCCTTCCGGCTTCTTCACGGATGAGCCCTCCAGCCCTGGAAGTGGGCTCCACCAAGGGGGCCACTCTTAAGATCTTCATCTACTACTTCAAACCTGCTCTAAATCCTTAATTGCAGGTACCATCAGCAAGGCGTTTTGGAACTCTGCAAAGCCCCAAGGAAACGTGACTCTGTCCCGTCTACACCCTGCCTCCCCCCACACACACGTTAGTGAACAAAGCCCTGACACAGGCCGTCCCACCGGTCCTCCCCTCAGTTCGGAGAGAGGCAGGCATTACCTGATAGCAGGGGATAAATGGGTGGGTGGAGGACCAAAGGGTCAGGTCTGGACCAGCCACTTTACTCTGTAGACCTACAAGTCTCCAGCTCGGAAATGAGGGCAGTGACTCACACACACCTGGCTCAAAGATTTCCTGGTGTTTCCTGGCAGTCCTCAGCATCCTTATCCACAAAATGGAGATTTAATCATACCTATTTCAGAGTTGTTCCGAGGTCATGGACGATGTCGTACATATGTAAAATGCTTGCCCTGCTGCTGGCAGATGTGAAGGTCTCAAAAAGTGGTAGTGATTAGTAATAATGGCAATTACTATTATCATACCACTAGTAACAGGGTACTTTCAGTCTGTCATTCTAGAATGTAATTTATTTGCTGTTTTGCAAAGTTCATCTGACTCTTAGTTCTCTCCACCTCGACAAGCAGCTCTAACACAGGAGGGATCTCAGAGTCCTCAGGGCTGGGATGCAATGGGGGGACCGCCACTGGCTCCATCAGCCAGATCAATGCACATTCTTCTCTCATTCTGAGCAGAAGGACCCACAGCTGACCACTCACCTTCCCGAAACTCTCCCATGGCCTCTGTGAACCCCATCCTGGGCTCCTTCCTGCTTCTGAGTCTCCTCAGCCTCCACTGCCATATCCTGCACTTTTAGACAATCTCGAGATTTGAGCTTTTGGGGAGTTTGACTCCACCCTTCTAGTCCCCCTCCTCTCAGCCTCACGTGCACCCCTAACCCCCATCCCCAGCAAATGACCTCATTCATTTCCGCCTGGAAACTATACCTTCTTTTTCTGGCTCCAAATGTACAACCCAACACTCAGAGCCAAGCATTCAGCCTGTAGCTTTCTGGTCAACATCTGCCCTCGTGATTCTCAAGACCTGTTCTAAATACGCGTTGAAATTTCCAATAACATCTATGCCTGCCATCTTCCCCCGATCACCGCCCATTCATCCTCATCCTGGCACGCTGCACCACCACGCAGCTTCTCAAGATAGAAACCCATGCGTGGTCCTTGACCCTTCATTCTCTCCTTCCTGTATCTAATCAATCCATTCACTATCCCGAGAGAAAAAAAAAAATCCTAAATCAATCTACTTCTCTACTGTCTTTGGAGCTAATAACTTTCATCCAAACCACCATCACCTTCACAGGACTCAGAGCTTCCAATCTGCTGTGCACACAACCCAAGGAGGAGCTTTACAGCACAAACCTGATCACATGAGGCCCCTCTCCCCCACCCCCGGTGGCTTCCCATGGCGCCAAGAGCGTGGTCCAGAGTCCTTGCCTGGGTCTGCAGATGTGAATGAGCTGGGCCTGTCTCCAGCCACATCTCACCCGCCCTGTCCTCCCTAGAGTCTCTGACAGCGTGTCCCTCTGCGGGAGTGCTCACCTGCCACCTTCCCTCCCTAACCACCCAAGTCCCCACTGTTCTGACCCCACGTCGTTTGCTTCCTCCACAGTATTTTTCAACTTCTTACATACTTATTTTTATTCCCATTTATGGGTGATCCCTCCTACTGCCATGCATAGTTCATGCTCCAAGAGGTGAAGGACTATGTCCGTTCTGGTGACCTCATATGAGAGCCCAACCAAGGGGCTCAAGACATCCGAATCAGGAAGGCTCAGAAATATTCATTCGGGATCAGTAAAATGACCAGGCCAGCCTTCCTACCCATTTTGTATTAGTAGCAGTGCCCCACTGAGTCCAAAAAATGCTTCCACGGTCCCAACACACAGGGAGGGCCCGGGGCAACCGAGACCAGAGGGTCAGAACGGGCCGCGGGCTGCCCTCGCCGGGGTTTCCTCAGGGACATTTCACAGCTACAGAAAAGAAGAAAGAGAACACGGCATAGCCATGCTTGCCACTCGCTTGCTATGCTTACTTGCTCTTTCTCTCCACACCCAACCTCCCCACACACAGGTGCGCAAACACACACGTTTTATGGTGAACCATTTAAAAGTGAGTTACAGACTTTGCTGTCATTTCACATCTAAATACCTGAGCATGTGACTCCTACCTTTTCAGAAGGCCACCGTCGCCCCAGATTTGACCCTGAGGCAGTCACATTATCTAATATGCAGTCCATGTTCAAGTTTCTACTGTTCATCCACATCCTTTGTCGAAGTTGTCCCCCGCCCACATCCCACCCCAAACAGGGCCCCGTCTGGATCCCCCATGTACACGTAGTAGTCGCACCCCTCGGGCCTCCTTTAACCTGGAACTGTCTCCCCAGCATTTTCTGTCTTTCGTGACGCTGACGCTTTGGAGCGGTATCTCGTCAAATGCCCCACATTCTCGATCCAATTGTCTCCTCGTGCCAAAGCCTTTTCAGCTGGCAGATTCCCCACTGTGTGTGCACACGCAAAAGTGTGCTTTCCTAAAATCTATACAGTGGGAGACTTTACAGGGGGAAAAATAATCTGAAAAAGTCTTCAACTCTGGACATCCCCGAAAACGAAACAAAACAAAACAAACAACACAACGCAGAGGGTGTGGCAGCTCCGGCCATGCTCCTAGGTGGCCGCCAAGACGTGGCCAGCCTCACCCACCTTGAGCCCTACACGCTGCATGATCTGACCGGGGAAGCCTCACTCACCCATGTAACTGACACGGCCGTGACCAGCCCCGCCCCCAGGTGACAGTGGGTCCCTGGCAGCGAGATGCAATCTCTTCTTTGGGAACCCAAGGAATTCCTGTGGCTGCATCAAACTCCAGGGCAGGTAGGCTCTGATCCCTCCAACCGCTGCCCAAAAAGGTACCTGTGCAAACCCCACCCCACCCACCACCACCACCCATGTGTGGGAGTCTTGAGTCATCCTAAATGCCCCAGATGACATCTGGGCACCTATCTGACTGCCTCTGGAATAACTCAAATGTTTAAAGTTCCACTGCAAGTGGCATTCTTGGAATGCAGGGGGTTCACCTCAGGAGACCTGACCCACATCTAACTGAAGAGGCCCATCCCGCTAAATGAGACATGATAAACTCAAATAATATCCAGGACTCAGTTACCAAAATACCATTCCCCTTGACCTTTATTTTTAGCTTATTTCAAACTCTAAACTATAAACACAACACCAAAAGTCTATGTCCAAAAACTCAATAATTATCAAATAAATAAAGCCCCCAGATCATCAGAATCGATGGCAGCGTGCCCTAAACCAGCTCTTCTCAACTCAGCTGCATCCTAGGATGGTCACACCCAACCCTGTCTCAGAGAAGGGACGTCTTTCCTGCTCACCTCTGCAGTGCCACCAAAGGTTTATGAGGGTGAGCTGGCTTTTAACCTTACTGTGAATAACGCGATAAACATTTTCCAGGTTGCACAAGACAAGCAAGGGCTTGATTTGGCAAATGAACACATCCAAAATGCCTGTTTTTTTCAAAGACATTTTTAACTGGCATCCACCCAATCGAGGAGAATGTGAAGGACTCACTTTTTGGGAAGCCAGGTACTCCATGCCTCTGGCCAGCTGGTAGGTGCACGACACCAAATCCTTGAAGGTCATCTGCTCCTCGGGAACACGGTTTATGTCATAGGAGTATTCCATCCCGGGTGGCCTCCGCGCTCGGAGGTACTCACGGAGGTTGCCTTTCGAGGCGTACTCAACTATGACGTAGAGTGGCCCTGTGGGTAAAGGAGACACGCTCCCTAAGGCAGTGAACCCAGGATCTGCCCTGGGTTCTATGATTTAGTTATCACAACCCAGTACTTCTGCTTGTTGGTTTTAATTTAAACACACAGAAAAGCACACACGAAACTAGAACACCTGCTTTCTAATCGCTCCAAAATGACAGTTGACACTTGGTCAAGATAGCCTCAAAAGTCTTTGAGTCACATGAGTGTCCTTCCCCTGTCCCTCCGGGTCTCTCACCTGTACCCTCTTGGAAAGCAATGGATATCACGAAGTTGCTTCTTCCAGTTCAACTTTTCCATACACATATGTATCAATAAACAGTGTATTATTCTTAATCACATAAGTGAATAATAAAAATATACAGCTCTGCAACATTTTTCCATTATATGATATCCTTGCAAAATCTACTCAGGCTGATAAAAAATCTAGATGCTTCCTTTCAACAGCTACATACAGGCATACCTCATTATTGACCTTTACACTTCACTGCACTTCACATGTATTGTTTTTTGTTTTTTTTTTGTTTTGTTTTTTTACAAATGAAAGGTTTGTGCAACCCTGCGTGGAGCTTTCCACGCAGCTTTCACTCACTTTGTGCCATTCTGGTGATTCTCACATTTCAAACTTTTCATTACTATATTTGTTATGGAAATCTGTGATCAGTAATCTTCGATGCTGCAAATGTAATTGTTTTGGGGTGTCACAAACCACACCCACATGAGATCGCAAACGTAATCCATAAATGTTGCGTGTGTCTGACCAGCCATCCCCCCCAACTCTCCTGTCTCCTTGGGCCTCTCTATTCCTTAGCACAATATTGAAATTAAGCCAACTAATACCTCTAAAGTGGTTTAGAAGTGTTCAAGAGAAAGGAAGACTCAATTGATAATGGCAAACTTCCTTGTTGCCTTATTTTAAGAAATTGCCAGTCGCCCCAACCTTCAGCCACCTCCACCCTGATCGGTCAACAGCCACCACCATCAAAGCGAGACCCTCCACCAGCAAAAGGATTACGACTTGCTGCAGGCTCAGATGATGGTCAGCATCTTTTAGCAATAAAACATTTTTTAGTTAAAGTATGTACATTATTTTTTAAGACATAATGCTATTTTACTACGCACTTCACAGAATACAGTATAGTATGAACGTAACATTTACATGTACTGGAAAACCAAAAAATTGGTACGATTTGCTTTATTGCAGTGGTCTGAAACCGAATCCACAGTATCTACAAGGCAAGCCTATATATTCTACCACAGAAATGCACCACTGTGTTTATCCATTCCTATAGGATGCTTCCAGATTCTGGCCATCACAAACAGTGCACGATGAACATTCTTGTACGTTCCTTATACGCATGTGCAATCATTTCTCCATGTACCCCACAGACAAGGGCCTGGCAAACTACAGCCCACGGGCTAAATCTTGCCCACGGCCTGTTTTTGTAAAGTAAATTTTTTTTTTTGGCACGCAGCCAGGCCCATTCATTTCTGTATTGGTTGTGGCAGAAATTTGCACAATGACAGCAGAAATTAGTAGTCGCCACAAAGCTAAAAGTATTTGCAATCGCCCTCTACAGAAAAAGTCTTCCGACTCCTGGTCTAGACCTACAAGAGAACTTGCTGAGGCAAAGGCGGGCACTTTCAAGTTTACTATTGTCCAGCTGGTTCCCAAAGTGCCAGCTGGCTCTGATGAGAGGAGCAAGGGTCTTCCTCCTCCAAAGGTCGGTACTGTGTCCCTGCACACCTCACTCCTCTCTTAAGCCCATCGTGGAAGCCCAGCCATCTGCTGCCCAGAGTAAGACCTGGCTTCCTCAAACCCCGTTTTAAAAGAACTTGTCAACCAAAACACAGAACCTTATTTTGAGAAATTTCTCTCAGCACTCACAAATCAAAAACATGAGGAGACTGCCTTTCCCAAACACCCTCCAGACCAAGTATCCCACAAACAAGAGGATACTCTGGGCCCTCCTGTCCCAAGTCGCCCAGCACCCACCCTTCCCTTCCCTGGTCCCCCAGCTACAGCCACAGAGTCCCCTTTGTATTCAGGGCCAGCAACAGCTTCCTAGGGGATTTTAAAGAGAACCTGAAACATGCACTTGAGGTGCCTCAGGAGCAAATCCAAAACTCCGACCATTTCCCAAATGACGCTAATGCTGACCCACGGAGAATCTGGATGAAAGCATTTTTCCTCCTACTCACCGTCCTGAGTACAGGCTCCGAGGAGATTTATGATGTTTTTGTGTTTTCCAATCATCTTCATCATCTCCATCTCTGACACTAGATCAGACAAGTCCTTCTCCGTGGCATCATCTATGAACATTAGGTAAAATTAAAAATCCATTAGTTTCTTCTAACCTGTCAGCTGTTGCTGTTAGTTGCCAAAAAACTTAGGTGAAACAGCATGAAATTAAAGGACCAGAGACGACTTTTTCCAAATCGTCTCCCTCATTTTACTGGTGAGGGGGCAAAGGCCCAGACAGGGAACTGCCCTGCTCCATGTCAAATAGTTAATTCGAGGTCAACGGGGTCAAAAGGCAGAACTAGAATGTAGGCCTCTGATGCTAAGGCCGATTATTTTCCAGCAAACCTCACAAATGTGTGGTGTCTAACTCTATCGTGAAATAATCCCATCCTCTGGCAGATCTAAGGTGCCTCAGAAAACCACAATGAATTCCACAGTGACTGCAAGTGACGGTGAGGATATCTGGTGAGGAAAAGGAAGACGGGGCATCTCAAACCACTACAGACCAAGTGCTGCCACCTCGAGCCCTCACAGCCGTGAGAGCGCTCACGAATGGGTTCGGTAGGCTCCCCGTAATTGTGTGCAAAAGTGTGAGTGTGTGCACACATATTTGGAGTGAGTGGAGGCCAATGCCTTCCGTGGGCCTCACAAAAGAAGCTGTGATTGCCATCCAAAAAAAAGTAGTTTTCTGAACCTCTGCTCTAACTCCTTAAGCAAGAATGGCTCAGGTCCTGCATCCGTGGGCTCATCATTAGGTCCTAAAAAGTGGCAAGACTTTTTCCATATGTTCCCCTCCCCGTGACTTTGAGCTAATTCAATATGGGAAAATCTGGGCTGACTAGGAGCCATGATGCGAAAAGCTTTTGAGATTCACAAAAGGAAGTGCAACACACTCGACTGAAGTGTAAAATCCACATTGACGTACAAAGGAAGGAGTCACACCTGTGGTGTTCTCTCCTCCAGTCTCTGAGCTCCACTGGCTATGAAAAAAGGCCCCATCACGAGGGCTCTGAGGCTTGTGTCCTCCTCCGTCCTAACAGGGAAGGCCCGCCTGGGTGTAACGAGACAAACAGAACCCCCTTTCTGCAGTATCCCATGTACCTGAGAGGCAGAACCGAAATCAGAGGTCCTGCGGAAAGAGATAGGAAGCCTGGGACCTTCTCCCGACTCACCCCTGGTTTGTGGCCAGAGGCTGCCAAGGCCAGTTTGTGTGAGGCACACAGCCCACCACACCTGCCACGCAGAAAGGCGAGGGCCCGCAATGCTTAGGCCACGCGGGATGCAAGCAGGAGGCCGCCTCCGTTGGTGGAGCCAACACGTGGGGGTTAGCACACACACCCAAGGTGGGGAGCAGCTCAAAACACCCTGGTTCTCCTTGGAAGCCATTTGGATCAAGAGCTTTAATAAAAATAAACATCTTTTTGACTATTTCCAGCCTGCTATGTGATGACTAGCCCGGGAGAAATCACCGAAGGTCCAAATCCCTACAAGACATCCGGTATCCCATATCCCAAGAGCTGCCCTCTCTGCCTGGATCCACGGGAAAAACCAAGCTGGGGCTGTGCTTTCCGAGATTCCTCACAACTGTATTTACCATGTGACCGTTCCCCTAACTCCTCGTATAAAGGAACGTCAGGGAAGGAAGCATTTAACGCTTAACAAGTTCCTCAAGCGCCTGGACCCAGGCGCGGTGCAGGGCAGGAAGGTTCACGCAGAAACGTTCGGCTTCCGGGAACACCGCTTGGCGTTTTCCTCTCGCGGTAACTGTTCACATCTCGCGGTAACTGTTAACACGTCCCAGCAGGTCCTGCACCAGCGCCGATCCTGTTAGGACTCTACCAGATTTCCACATGACGTGCCCAGACCAGTGTCATTTCCGCTTCGTTCCTCTCACAAAAGAAGTGTGGCCTCCTCTCCCTGAGCCCCCTCGCTCCCTCCAAAAGGGCCAGTTTTCCTTAACTTGTCAATTAAGGTTTGGGTTCAGACACCGATGTACCAACACTCATCTAAATTAACCGATTATATGTATCACTTGGTATTTTCGAAGCACGTGAAACTAGGGAATGAGGCAACACCGTCATCTGCAAGGAGTCGAAGAATAACAATCTTGGAGGCTACCAGTTTCTGACAAAACCGGCTCTTCTTTTTTATGAGTGCACCCAGCTCAAGATAAATAGTCTGTCCAAGATGCTGATTTATACCGAAAACTCCTCAACCCCTAGGTCAACTATGTGCTCTCTGACCCCCCTGCCACGATAGAGTTCACATGACACAAAAGGAACATTCTTGATAAGCCTTTGCCGTTGCCCCACCCCCACCCCACCCCCCCCCCCACCCTCCCTCCCCGTTCCTCTCACAAAAGAAGTGTGGCCTCCTCTCCCTGAGCCCCCTCGCTCCCTCCAAAAGGGCCAGTTTTCCTTAACTTGTCAATTAAGGTTTGGGTTCAGACACCGATGTACCAACACTCATCTAAATTAACCGATTATATGTATCACTTGGTAGTTTCGAAGCACGTGAAACTAGGGAATGAGGCAACACCGTCATCTGCAAGGAGTCGAAGAATAACAATCTCGGAGGCTACCAGTTTCTGACAAAACCGGCTCTTCTTTTTTATGAGTGCACCCAGCTCAAGATAAATAGTCTGTCCAAGATGCTGATTTATACCGAAAACTCCTCAACCCCTAGGTCAACTATGTGCTCTCTGACCCCCCTGCCACGATAGAGTTCACATGACACAAAAGGAACATTCTTGATAAGCCTTTGCCGTTGCCCCACCCCCACCTACCCCACCCCCGATCCTCCTCCTCCCCACTCACCTTTCAACATCTTCACTGCCACCGTGACTGCTTCCTTGGGCTTCTCTTTGTCGATTCCCACTGCTTCAGCCATGACCACTTGCCCAAAGCAACCTTCCCCGAGGGGTTTGCCCAGCGTCAGCCTAAGAGTGTAAATAGGGGATTAGCACACGGCATCTGGTGAAGGGGTGCAGCGAGGGAAATTCCAGAACTAAATATAAAAATCTTTCAGCAGCTTGCAAAAGCGTAGGGCGTTTATCATATGGAACTAATGAGACACGGGGTACACACGCGCTTGAGTATTTTCTTAGTGACGTTTTGGAGAATGTCAATTACTGCGGAACAGCTATTAAATTTCACATTTGTATTCTGGATTTATTTTCTTTACAGAGGGTATCCATGCTGGTGAGGTGGTCAGCTTTCCTAAGTGCTAACAAGGTGGGACTTCTGATCTTGAGCCAAGAGAATATTCATAATTCAGAATGTCTCATTTTTTTTTTTGTCTCAGTGATGTCTTTAAAATCCTTGTATATTATTCAAATACCAGTGGATTTTACGGTCACATTCTAGGGCCAAGTTACATGATATGAAACTTAAATGCATTTCAAGGGATCTCTCATTTTTCACTAAAGGCAAAAAAAAGTTTTTTAAAAATTAAGGGGAATTTTTTTTTTGATGTGACAATTTAGAAATCCTTACAAATACCCAAAATTAATAATGAAGAAAATCCAAAGTGAACACAATAAACTACATTCTAAGGTCAGAAGCTCTATACACATCATACTAATAGCCATATATTATCCTTGGGCATTCCAGAAAACAACAGAATGAAGTCGTCTTTGGAACATGTATGAATGTGATTTTTTCACGTAAGCATAACACAGCAAAGTACTGAGCTGACCTCAGTAAACAGTGTTTCTGGTAAGCACACAAGGTTTGCAAAAGCTAAACAAAGACTGAGGGCAACGTTTGCTATGCTGAGGTCACTCCGTTTCTATGCCGAACTAAAATTAAATTTAATATCTTGGTAGAAAATAAACATTTGCATTGGAAAAATGGCTAATTTATGTCCTATTGCCCGGCTACTACAAGCATAACAATCCTTTCTTTGTGTAACTTCTGCCTCCAATCTAATAAATGGCTTCTAAATAGCCTTCATTCATTGGAAATTTGCTCCACCTACGTTTGTGCAAAATGCTGTTTTGAAATGCTCAGCACTCAGATTTTCCACACTGGGGGTATCCCAGGGTGGGGGCTAACCGGCCAGCACATACAGACTCCCACTGTTAGCTGCGGTGTCACAAATGGCAAAAACTACGGACTGAACCTTAGAGCTGCCATTGCTTACGATATGATCGCAGCTCCCCAACTCAGCCCTATATTCACAGGACTGTGCACACCCACCCGCCCACTTGTATAATTGAACCACGGAGCTGGGAGGGCTCACTAGAAGCACCCTCTCCACTCTCTACAGGTAAAGAACCCATTCTTTGTGTTTTCTCTGGTGCCTCTCCAGTAAATAAGCCCTGAAAGAATAAATGAATGAGTGAATGAATGAATGAATAATGGTCTTCTCACTACAGTACACAAATAAACCGGAAACTGCTTTCATTGACACTAACGAGATAATTTCTATACAATTATTTGCTTCTAACTTATGGTGCATGTTAATCTCTCTAAACTGGCCGCTGGGAAACAAAACGTGTGTGGAGTTGCAGGAATCAAATTTACAATGCCGTGAAATCTACCTCCCCTCCCAAACAGCTCATCATATTGTCTCTGGAAAAGCTCACCATTGTAGAACTTCCAAATTTGCATATGAGCTCCTTCTATAGTAATGCAACACTTCTCTGACAATCTCAGGGTGACACTGCAAATGTCGAGGCAAACAGGGCAGCTGTAGGTGGGCAAGTCAGGAGCTCATTCCCACTGATCGGATGCAGCTATGGAATCAGCGACCTTCACCTTCCTCTACTCTCAAAGTTCTTCGGACTCTAGCACGAGAGGTACCCAGGAGAGAGGCGACGGCCTTTCAATGACCATCGTGCTTCATTCGGAAGGTGGGTCTGGGAGTTGGTTCCTGCCTGGCAGACTGAGGGCTGGTGGCCCAAGATCTGTCCCACGTACTCTATGTCTAGCGCCACTATCTCGCTGTGGTTTGTGGTTCGGAGCTCCCAGATCACCAGTACATGAAGGAGGTAAGCTCGCATAAGCCAAGAACTGTGTTCGGTCAGTCCTAGGAGGTCTCTACCAAGACCTTCATTTTACAGGCAGGATGTTTGGAGCATTAGGTAACTCACACAAGGGGGCCCAGCCACTGGCTGGCAGAGCAAGGATTCAAACCCAGCCCAACACAGCCCAAAGTACATGGACTTGAATTCAGCCCAAGCAAGAACCACAGCTCCCAACAATGCCTCCCAACAGAGTCCGGGGCCACACTTTGACTGAATATCTGAATGGAACATATCTATGACATCTAATAAGGAAAATACTATGGACCACAGGAAATTCAAGGTTAGATGCCACATCTGAAGTGCTTCAGCCTGATATTTATTACATTAATAATGACTAAAAATAGCAACACTGAGTAGAAATTCTTAAGACGATCTATATCCTATACCTAATTTCTCAAAAGAAATAAACTACAGAACAGTCATAGTCTAGTAACCAGAGTGTGGAATGTCAGATCTGTTTTATAAATGGGATGATTCCACTCTTATTCCATTTGACTGTGTTTGAATTGTCCAGAAAGTTTTTAAAAATGCTGACAAGGCACCGTCTTACTTGGGGACCAGCCATGGCTTAGTAGCTCTGTTTTAAAAGAACTATTTTTTAAAAAAGAGAGAGAAAGAATCCCCTTCTTTTCTTTTCAAGGAGTTGAATACCTAGAAATACAATGTCGCTCACTCCTGTTGACACCATCAAAGCAAGATCTTTGCAGTTAAGGGTCATAACAAGAAAATGTTTCTCCAAGATCCCCATTTATACCTAAATCTCCATTTGGGGCCATGCCCGATAGAAGTACTCACTTATCTCTTGGAAACTCCCATTTTGGGTCCTCCGGTAGTTCATACTCGGACACCCCTGCCAGCATGGGGGTGTCTGCTGTTGAGGACAGGCGTGTTGTTATCCTCACCAGTGGGGTGTTGGAGTTCATGGAGGAGCTGGACTCAGCAGAAACCTGGATACAAAATGCAAAGACACAGATGTGATCCTGGCTCCACCTGAAAAGGCTGGAAGCCGGCCAGAGCCCAGCCAGATGGTCAGCTCTCAGGAAGGAAGAAAAGCGGGGGCTGGTCGAAGTCACGAATTAAGGACCAAAACCACCCGGCTCCATTTTTTCTGTCTTCCTGCCTATGCAGTACTAGACTTCACCCAAATTACATGTTCCTAAGACCAGGTTTTCAAACATTTGTAGACAAGGCCTGATCAAAACATGAGTCTTCTTTCTGTCCTAATTCCTTACTACGGTCACTTGAGGACAGAGAGACAGACCCCATGAGCTTCATTGCTGCCCAAGATATTAACTGTATTGGATCCCCAAATGATCAATCTCTGTGCAAACCAGCTCAGATCATGAATCAATGTGCTTATTATGACTTGAAAACTTTGGGACAATCAGCTCTTCGATAGTTTGTGTCTTCTGAAATGAAAAGATTGTATCTCCAGGAACCAGCTCTAGGGTTTGAGTGTGACAGGCATTCCAGTAGCGACGAGCACCTTTCGACCTGAGACCCAGGTACTGGGGGCCACGCCTGCTTCTCCCCAGTCCTTTTGGGAACTGGTCGATGCCCAGGCCATTTGGTGAAAATCGACTTCCTCTTGTCAACTTCAGTTTCAGAAGCCAGTGGATTGAATACGTGGGACAAAGAGTCAAGAGAAAGAAAAATACGCCTTTATTCATTGTTGCACGGGCAGGCAGGGCAGCAAGCACATTGGGGCTTTGCTGAGGCTTCCCGCTTACCCTGACCCGCTTCAGCCTGCGCCTGATACAACGGTCGTTTCTTAAATAGAACATCTTCCCCGTGCTGAATTCTACAAAGGATGCAGGTACAGAGCCCACCTGAAGGCCGCCTTGAGATTACTGCACAACCCGGTCCACGCACGGTGTGGCCGACCACCACCTCACCTGCGAGCCACGAACAGGACTCTGGCCTAAGGCAGTTGGAACAGGGGTTCAACGTGATCCAGCAAAGCAGCCCGCCAACCCACCTCGGTTCTGTTCCCTGCGTGACCGCCCAGGTCAACCAGCGTCCCCAACTGCAATTACAAAGACTGGGTACAAATGAACATCAGGATGAACTTTCACAAGGTGGAGGCTGGCCTCACCCCACGGTGACCTGCAGACCTGAGCTTCCCCAGGAACGTCCTTGTCAGAAATCCTTGGTTCTCCTCCATAAGCCCAGGCTGCCCTTCTCTGGAAACCCTCAGATGGTGACCGAGAACGGATGGGAGGAAAATTGCTTCACAAATAGGAAGCTGGTTCTGGTATTAAAATCAAGAAGTAGGCAATTTTTAAGGGAAAATGTCTACTATCTTTTAAAACGAATACATTTCTGAGCCTCTGAGAAGCCTTTCTGGCAGAGTGAGTTACTCCTAAATTTTATTTATGTAGATAATATGAGCAATGTTTATTCACTGCGAGTAACATAATTAAAAAAAAAAAAAAAGGAACTGAAGAATCATTAATTTTGGAGCTAAGAGAGGCCTCATGGAGAGGTTAGGCTCCAAGAGGCTGGCACCTCACACCGAAGTGTCTGGGCCACACAGACAAATGGTGGCGGCAAAGACAAAAAGATGAAAAGGTGACTGTGGACCCCTTCCTCCCCACTAGTGACATGGACTAGGCAGGGATCCCGCCCTGCCAGACAGCTTCAAAGGCCCCTCCACAGACCCCAGTGGGCCTGCTCTCACGGTGGTCGCTGACCTCGGCTGCCGGGCCCCCCAGAGGACACCTTTGAGACTTACAGTCTCCACCGACCACACAGGTGCCCAGAGGTCCAGACGCAGAGAAGCGCTCAGATTCAGGAACAGGTCTGGCTGAAGATACTTCCCCAAACCCTAACGCCCTGTGTCAGGGCCATGTGCTGTGCATGCAAAAGGAGGCTGGTGTTCTCAAAGGCCAGAAAGTCTTCTGGAAAGTTCTCCCGCGTGAAGAGGCAAAAATCCCCGCTCATTGCTTTGAGACCTTAGTGCTTGAAGAGCACAGGCAAGAAGATCCAGAAAGTCAGCAATGAGACAAGACAGGCCCCATAAGACTGAGGTCCAGCAAATTCCAAAGCCAGGACACCCTCAAGGATACGCCGGAGGAAAGCAGCCTCCCGTGCAAGCGGGGAGAACACGGGCACTTCAAATTTCTTCAGGAAGGATGCACAAGAGACTAAACAATTTTGGGTAGAGAGATTAGGAGTTGAAGGAGGGAGGAGACTATGCCCCTTACTTCAGAACTTTCTAGACCATTTCAATTTTATAACCAATGCTTACGTATCTCTTTCACGTTTTAAAAATAAGTGAATTCTTTAACATTAAAAATATGTTTTTAGAAGAGTAAGGATCTGAACTGAGGCATATCTCAGGGAAAAGAAAATGAAAAGCACGTGCTTGAAATAACTTGTTTGACTTCTCAAACAAGTTAGAAATGACGAGACCACTGCTTCTGCCTCTCCCCTCTGCTGCCAGGCTGAGCTTTGTGGCATCTCTGCATCCACCCCAGTGACTGCCCCCTAGCAAGCAGCCAACCCTAGCTGTGCTGTTCCTATGCTAATGATTTATGTGGTGGGATTCTGTGTCGGGCGGCAGCATCCTGACCAAATGCACCCATGTGCGGTCTGATTGTCGGGGTCCCCACCCCGGTTCCAACACTCACTGACTGTGAGAGCTTCAGAAGGTCACCTAACCTTCCTACACTGGAGATTCATTATCTGATAAAAAGAAACTGGAACAGTTCCTACTGCAGTGACCTTACTGTGAGGATGAAATGAGGTCACACCTGTACAGTGTTTCGTGCTGAGTCTGGCACTTGCCAAGAGCTCACTTAAGATTTGCTACCAACACCACAATCGTTTTTCTTAGCACCTTTTTAGAATTATTTGCTGCCCAGAACCAAGGGAGCTTATGATGGCATCTCCCTCTACGGAACCTGGAGCATCTGGAGCCTAGGGTTGCTCTATATGTGAGATGCTGTCATACTGTGTGACACGAGAAAGGGGAAAACCCACTGGCCCTACAGCCTGACTGCAGAACAGACAGGATACACCTCCCTGGTTTGTATGATGAGACCTGCTCACAGCCGGAATGGCCTGAGGCTCCAGCAAACAAAAGAACAAACCTAAGAAATAAAGCATCCAGGAGTCAGGGGACAGAGGACCTGGGGACTATGACAAATATGGCTTAGAGGCGGCTTAAGAACAGAAACACTGAACAGTCAGAAGTTAAGTGCTCTGTAGCTAACCTATGACCCAAAATAAATCTTTACCCACAAATCCGTGCAAAAGTTCACACACATATACATCTTCCGCCAGAGTCTCAAGGTTCTCACATGAAAGCTTTTAAAATGGAAAACCTTTACCAACTTTGTTCTGTCATTATTATTAAAATTTTTAAATGGTGTTTACAAAAAAGATCATTTATGGAAATTTAGTTCAGATTAAGTGTAGAGGCTTTAGATTCAATATAAAAAAAATCCGGAAAATACTTTTGTAAAAAACACAACGGGGAAAAAAGGTAAGAAAATGTCGAAAGCGTAAGGAACTACAGAATTCAACTGCTCTGTCTACAGAGGTCTATCTTAATTTTACCTCCATGCATTTTTACTATGCTTTTAAAATCCCCGCTGGGACTGTAAAGTATGACTGGCTTTCTCTTCACTCCATTTTGCTGAGAGCTAACACGTTTCCAGGGCTTGGCTGGACATCTTGCAGGCGATTCCTCCATGTTTCCAATGCCATGTGTCGCTGGGACATCCTTCCTCCAGACCACACCCATGGAGGGATTCCCACTGCCCACCTTCAAACTCTGGGACGTATTCGGCACTGTCAGATGATCACTTCTTTATTTTTATTTTTTTATTTTTTTGCACAAAATCATCATCTTCCCTATCAGATACTTTTTTCCAATTCCAGGGTTTCCTGTTTACCTAATTTAAAAATATTCCATGGATGGTGATGATTAAGTTATTTATACACAATAAATGCTAACGCACTCATAAGCTGTCTTCCCCCTCCAGGACGGTGGCAGGAGCACTTTCCTAGTGTGTATTTTCAGTCTCAATTTGGCTTCCTCACCTTCCAGAATCTCTTTACCATGTGCCATAAATCAAGCTTTTAACTAACTGCTTCTTGTGTATGTCCACAGTACATGTAGGAGATTAAGCAAAGGAAGTGGGTTTTTTTTTTGTTTTGTTTTTTCATTTCTTTTAAAGGGCCACCATGAAATCGTGTTATCTCTTTCTACTAGATTAGACTGAACAACAACTAGGGACTTCACAGGGAACGGAGCAGGCAAAAGCAAAGATGCTACGCCAGGGGTGATGAACATCCGTGTGTTGATTCCTGAGCACTGACAAACACCCCCAGACCACAGCTTGACTCTTAGAGACTGTGAATCCACGTTCCCACATCAGAAGAGAAGGCTCTAGACCTGCCCACCACCGCCCTCCAGCCAAACAAAATGTTCTCACCACCTCAAGCCGGGTGGCTGAGACAAAGGTCTAAGGGGTTGCTCGGGTTGGATCCGTTTCCCCTCAGTAATGAAATGTAGGTAATCAGGCAGTTTATCAGACACTCACTTTCCTCCCTTAGCAAGGCTCTGCCTCCCCCAAACATCCTCCCAAGGCTTGGAGAAAACCCATCAGAACAATGGCTCACCGGTCCCGGAGGGGCTGGTTCTTAGGAAATCACATCAGCCAAAAGCCAGGTCAGATCACAGTCAAACTGTCTGTCGTCTCTCTCGAAGGCTGAGAGAACCACCAAATAGGGGCCAGGGAGGACAAGGCGCCCCCACAAAAGGGCAGGCTCCAATTAAGCCATCCATGACCGTTCTAATTACCCGAATGTTTTCTGGAACCAGTGAGCTTTCATTAGGCCATTTGACTGACCAAACTATGGAAAATGTTCCAAGATCATGATGTTCAGCTGCTAGGTAGTAGGGGAGCTTCTAGATGTGGCACTGCCCTCCACAGAATTTGGTGTGGTTAATCATCATCAACACACGGCCCCCAGAACTGGCTCCTGAATCACACATGCCACCACGCCCCCCTCATCTTGCTCCTGTGAATGACATCCTTGGGGATGTGCCGCTTGCCTCAACGATATTGTGATGAAACATGACCTTGACTGTCCTTGATTTTCCTCTGGTTTTCGATCTACCTGTATCAGCAACCAGGAGGGTGAAACTAAAGCGAGAAAAAGAATCCCTGCAGCCCCTTCTGAGTCGCCAGTGGCGGTGGGAGAGTGTGCACTGCACACACATGTCTACCCCCCAGGAGATGGGTACACCCTTCTATGGAGACATGCTACCTCCCGGATGCACGTCCGGCTCCAGAAAGAACCATCGGATGTATACACTGAAAAACTGATTCGACAAGCCCAGCAATGACGCATGCCTCCTGAACAAAATCCCCAGTTCCCTCTGCACCCCCTCACCCACCCTGCTGATCTGTGCAAAACACAGAGAGCGAAGCCCTCTCTTCAACTCATGGACGTGCAAAGGCTGCTTTGCAATGGCCACGCTGTCCACTCACAGCCCCAGAGATCTATGCGAGAGCCAATGAGCTCGCAAAGGAGCACCCGCCCCGCCCCCCGCAAAGGAATGGGAGCAGATGAGCAAGTGGCCGGCACGGTGTCCAAGCCCCAGCCTTGAATGGGGTGGACTCTGTCAAGGGACAGAGGGAGGCACTGCCAAGCACCACCCACCTCCCTACCAAGAGTTGCCCCCTACCCTCCAAGTCCAAAGCCCATCGAGGGTCTCAAAAAAACTCATGGTTCCTGGGAAACGATCACAAGGCACCGAAGAAAACATTTTTCGACCAAAACAAACAAACAAACAAATTGAAATGTCTGTCTTGCACCAGTAAGTCCAGTACAGATTAATAAATGTCAAGAAGGAAAAACTCACAATGGGATCAAGGAAAAAAAAGAAACAACTGCTCTTGTTCTAAAAACAAGAATCGACTGAGCTGCGTGAAATGCTGTATGATGCGTGTCGGGGGGCGGGGGGAGGGTCAGGGCCAACGAGATAACATTCAGACTCCACCATGAAGACGCTGAGGGCCACCTGTGCACTGGAGGACGCTGGGTAAGTGCGGCATGAGGAGCAGCCTCGCAAATGCCTAGGGACGAGCCATCCTCGAGGTATCTGATTACAGGCTCACCTGTCACCAAGTCAAGGCATCCCTGGCATCCTGTGGAATTTTCTCTTTCATCAGCATGCCTGCCAGCCTTTCTGTGGATTTCATTCCACTACAGCCCGATCACCCACTTTTATCCAGATACCTGATAGGCATCTCCTCCACCACAGGGACTAGGCTTTCTGACCCAGCGCTCCTCGTGCAGGATCACGCATCCCATCGTGACATACGCGAGGGGTCGAGGTGTACCGACACTCCCCTGAATGAGTTTCTCTCTCAGATTTATTTCTCCAGGGGACCGGTATTTGCCCACTTGCCTCTGTCTCTCTCAAACTACCTGACCCTACCGAAACACAAAGCAATTACATTTTAAACGAAGCCTCCCACTCAATAACACTGGTGAAGGTGACAGGCCACGCCTCACATGGAGCCTCGGTGAGACCGAGCACTCAGAAAATTACCATGAACAAAGGAAGGAGGGAGGGAGAAAACAGGAGGAGGAATCTTAATGTTCTTTTCAGCTGCGCACGGCAGTGTGGGAAAAGTGGCCAACTTAGGTGGAGAGGAGAAAGGCCAGTCGGCCAACGGCAAACAAGAACGAGATGACTGGGGCTGAGTCGAGAGGATTTTAGAGGCATCTGCCTCCTTTATAGTGAGTAAAAAGAAGAGCATTGTAACAGCTGCAGAAAAAAAGATGAAATAATTACGGGACGATGATCTAGCTACACCAAATTACAGGTTTCCTCCAGAAGGTAGCATCTTCCCCCTACAAAAGATGGGAACTCCACTCTCTTTCTGTTCCCTAAGGCCGGGTTTGTCGAGATGGTGGCTGTAAGAAGCACCCAGAGGTAACTGGAAAGGAGGGGGTTGGGGGTGGCTAGATCAACCGGAGGTCACCAACTAGGTCAGAGAGTCAACCTTAGGACTGGTGGCCCCATCACTGCTTCTACAACAGAATTCTTGGTGGTGGGAGCGACCCTTTATTCCCTCACTCCACATACAATGTGAGCATTCACCTGCACGCGACGCACATTCCCAGTGCTAGCCCTCGGCCTCCGCGGAGAAAGCCCTGCTTGAAACGTGGCTTCAAAGAAATCGGCGAGGATCTACTCAGCCCAGAGTTTGGAGCTGGGCTAAAAACAGCCAGATCTGTGCCAAAACTGCTGCTGACCAGCTGGTTCCCAGCCCTTCCTAGTGCCTTGTGCAGAGAATGTTACCGCCACCTTATGTCACAGGAGGGGCGAGGCTGGGATTAATCCAGCGTGTCTCGAAGTCCACTTCGAATCACCTGAGGACTTGTTTGAACTGCAGACTCCTGGCCCCACGCGAGACCTACTGAACCACAGTCTCTAGGGCTGAGATGAAGAAATCTCCCATTTTAACAAGTACCCTGTAAATTCTACTAAAATACATACGGAATTAGAGCCAGCGCGTTAGTTGTTTTTACTTGCTGTTTCGGGGGGGAAAAAAAAAAAACTTTATTATAACCGAGTTCCAAATAGTTTTGTAAACATTTTGCATTCACATCTGCCTTCCCCTTCCATCTTCATGATCAGAAAATAAAAAATGACAACACATTTCCTGTCCCATTCCGCTTTGCAGGGCTTTAATTTAAGGCAGAGGTGTAGGCTCTATCTTGCCCCATACCCCCAAAGCAAAATTAAACCAATCAGGAGGTGCAGACAAGCCGCAAGGAACCACCGAAGACCAAGTGCAAGGTTAACAAAAATTTGTTGCCTATTCAATAGAGAAATCGTTCTAGGACCGGCCCCACGGCCACACTTGAGAATGACTAACAATAACATGATGTGTGCATATAATTCTATTTTAAGAATCAAGAGAGGTCGAGCCAAAATCCAGCTTGGAAAGACATCATGGGCCAGTTTAAATCAAGTTGTAGCTCAGATTCACCTCCAGGGCATAGGTTTCTGAGCTTGATTTTAAAAAATAAATCAAAGAGAGCTAGAGTCCCTTTCCAACTAGTGGCATAAGCCTATCTCAAAAAAAAGCTTTAAATCACAGGGGACAAAAGTGGCCTGTGCTTCAAAGAGACCGCTGTGCCAGAGTCTCATCAAAACCACCAGGGCCCTGCCTCCCTGCGTTACGTCCGTCATGCTGATTGGCTGAGCCTCACGCCCTTGTGCTTTCTTGACCCGGAACTTGACTGGATTGGACCCATTGACGCACCAGGACTTGACTCTCCAAGCCCTAAAAACTAACTGGGCGGCCACTAAGAGGCATGTCGGAACTGCTAGCCCCATGACACTCACACAAGAAGCATCGGAGCAGAGGGAGAGAGACCCAAGAGCTGGCTGGGGCACGAGCGACGAGTAAATTTCTTCAAACTCTTTATCTACTTTCTGTTACCTGTCTCCGCAAAGGGATGCGCTTGGTCAGCTTGTGCACAGCCGGCTGGCTGCTGAAGTCTGGCTTCTTGGTCGTGGTCTTCATTCTGCACACGATGACTGTCACCACCATACAGGCGATTAAGAAGACCCCTATGCAGTAAATGGCTATCTCCAGGTAGTCTGGGGAAGTCGTAATCTCCTTCTCTCTTACGGGAGCTAGGTTGTAGATCACAGGAGAGGAACAGATAAGCAGGTCACAGAGTAAGGACACGAGACGGCTGCATCCTGGCAGAACTAAAGGAATCAAAAGGCGATAACCCTTCACAAGGATGGGCTTCCCGACGACTCAAAGCGACAGGGTGGCATGGGCCACGGGCCTGCCACGTACCTCTCTCAAATGAAGGGGAATGGCCAAGGGCTCCTCGCTTTACTGCCAGGGCCCAGGCGGTCACTATCGCTAGCCGCAGTGGGCCTCTGCAAGCCAGTGACCGTGATGGATCGGCTGCCACCGAGACACAAAGGGCAGGCTCCAAGATCACATTCTGTTAGCTATTTGGGCAGAACAGGACAGGCGACCATACCCATGACAAAGGGACTGTCTTCTAATATGGTCTCTGGTGTGAACCAATTTAAAAATTCTTACACACGAATGGGTGTCCACTTTCGTTTCTGAAGGGACGGTGCCTCAGTCTTATCCGGGTAAGCTCTTCCAAAGGAAGATATGATAGGGTGATATACCCCAGAGGAACACAGTTCCACATGACATGAAATAAATATTCATCTAGTGGGCTGGCCCGAAAAGGGTCACATTTCTTAATATAGTCCAGCATATCGTCTAACTAAATAAACGAATGCTTCTAATATAAAGACTGAGTTGTTTATCATACAGAATCATTATGTCCATACCACAAAATGTTTATAATATTCCTTAATCGAGATCCATTTAAATTGGTGTGTATCTGGTTATACCGATACATCATTACAACTTTTAAAGAAAAATTAGAAGTGGTATGGCATGTGAGTATACATAAAATTACTTAAGTTAGCACGTTCTTGTATCAACGTCCAATAATGTCTGCTCTTTCTTTAGTCCTCAACAGTCAATCTATAAGCAGTGTATTTCCAAATAGTATTTTTCTCAAAACGCATTCTTAGTTAATGGGCTAGTACTGTCAGGCAAATCGGTTAAGAAGTGCCAGTTAGGCACTTGCAGAAGGCAGTACCGCACGTAAAAGCAAGCTCAACACAAGAAGCATCTCATCGTTTCAAAGCAAATACTCATAGAGCAGACTCGCAACAAAAGGAAAATGGATGCAATGCTAGTATTTAAGGCTTACACATTTTAATCAGAAAAATACTTGCAAGATAGTCAAAACTCTCAGCAGCACAGCATGAAATGAAATGATCCATTTATTTTTACTAGATAATAAAATAAGCATGCAGGTAGGCACCATACTCTAAAAATAAGGAATTAATAACTGGAGTGGAACATCATGAGCTAGCAAACCACAGTCTACGCAGTTTCCAAGGACATGACAAAGAGGCAGATACATCAAGGCAGACAGTGATTTTCAAGAAAGTTTGAGTAGGATAGAGTTATCGGTTAAAGATGCAGACGGCGACCATCTTTAAGCAACAGGGCTTTACCGATGTCGATTTCTCTGCAGAGCAGAAAGAACATCAAGCCCAAGATGGCAAGAGCATGCATCGCAGTAAAAGCAAACGAACAGTCCATTCTATTGCCACATGCAGCAAGCCACCGATTCCCAAGGTAGGTGCCACACTGCTTCTGTACACGCTACATGCAGAGGTATCCTCCCCAGGCACCTCAACGCACGGCGATCTATTTACCCCTCGGTAAAAACAGAAACTGGAATGAGAGTCCATGTGGGATTTTAGCAAAATGGAATTTGAAATGAGCAAAAATTACTTTGAATTTTACAAAGTAATTTCGACTTCAAGAGAAATAGGAATGGGTGAATTTACACATTGACTCGATGACTCACTAAAAACGTTAAGATCCGTTTGGGTTTTAAGGATGAAATTCCACTGGATCGTAAATGCGAGTGGGGGAATCTCATTGTAAGTGAATTTCCAAGGCTTTCTTCTCCCGAGGGGATGATTTGAAACATGTTTTAAAATCTCTATGCAAGGATAAAAGGGGCCATTTCTGAGAACAGAAGCTGTGTTAATTTTATAGCAATCAACCACGAAAAGGAAAAAAAAAACCATGGAGAGAAAGAGCAGTATGTACCTGGCAGAACTGTCAACCATGCAGAGTGAAAGGATATCCCAATAGAATTACCCGCCAAGCACGTATATTCCCCAGCATCCTCAAAAGTTACATTCCGAATATAGAGAACCTCAATCTCTTTGTCCGTGGTGTTAACACCGGCGGCCTAGAAAACAAGGGAAGCAAGAGAAAAGGCTAGACGACACAGGATGATTGTGGACGGGGCCACGGAACCACGAGGCGTCGCACCGGGGGCTCCGGCGGGTGCTGGCCACCGGAAGATTCCGATGGCAGCCCATCCACAAAAGCCCACAACCGAGACACTGAATGACACCGAGCAGCTCACCTCCACAGGCCCGTCACCACACCAGCTTCACCACCTAGACATGCATGCGATCAAACACATGGAAAAATCAACCCACAGAGATCCGTTCTCTCGGCCATTGCCGGGCTTGGCTTTGGGTTTGGGGTGCTTTTCCAAAAGTAGAGCACCCGAAAGTCCAAGCCGGGTTCTGGTTCTGTTGGCTGCAGACCCCCACCTTGAGGAAAGGAAAGTTCTGTCTCAATTATTGTGCTGTACACCAAAACACAGCAGATAAGCCCAAGTGGACATCTCGCACATCCTTCTGGCCCGGTGGGAACTGGCTCGGGGGAAGGGCCAGCTTGGTTACCAGGCTCTGGTGATTTTTACTCCTGCATAACCATCTTGACTTACATTGAATGAAACAAAATGGAAGAAAGCATGATCTTGGGAGCAAAGAAACTGGGCTTTTTTTTTTTTTTTTCTTTTTTAATGCAAACATTTGAATGTGAATCGTGACAAACTAAGAAAGTCAACCTGCTGCCTTCAGTAGCTTCCAGCAGTACATTCGTTAAATGGACTACCCCCAAATTTGGGATAGCAAGGTCAAGGGCAGTATCGCATAAGTAGCAGTTACACAACCAAGGAAATGATGCTTTGTCGGACAAATTAATACCATGCCAATATTTCTCTAGATATCTGGGGCAGAAGGAGGTATGAGTTCTGCCGATATGCAATGCCACAAGTTCAAGAGGCATGCACACGTGTGTTTAAAACGGTGTTTATGTGCAGTCATGATGGGAAATGTGCAGCCCAAACAAGATAAACCAGAAGGAATGACTTAAAAACTAGATGGGGTGAAGGATAATCTTTAGAAGAAATTAGAGCGAGTGCTTTGAACATTGTGGGCATTTTTCCATGGCTGCTGGCATCACACCAGCTGCATCACCGAAGAAAGATTATTATGAATATACCGAGGCCACAGAGTTATCCTATAAAGCTGCCTGCAGTCTCCCAAAGCACCAAGTCTTTTCAGCTTCTATATCCAGCCTTCTTTAAAAAAAACAAAAACAAAAAACGAAAAAACAAAAAAACAAAACAAAAAAAAACATTGTTACCTTGCTGTTTTGGCAGAACTGTGAGCCAGGCAGACTGGTTGGCCTGCCCTATATAATTGGAGACCTTACATATATACTCCCCAGCATCCGCCTCAGTCACATTGAATAGAGCCAGCACTTCTGCATTGGAACTATTTATCCCCGAGTGCTAGAATAGACACAGGAGAACAATATAACGGCCAACCAGGAAGGACTTTGCACTGTCTAGGGTCCCACCACCAACACACCGCGAGAAAACAACCTCCATTACGTGTAAACAGCACTACTAAGGGGCTACAGGTTTAGGAAGAACAAAGTAAGACAACTGGTGGACAGTGGAAGTGACCTGGTGGACAGGCGTGAAAGGGTCTGATCAATACCTAACAGGATGGTTAACAGTTCCCCAGATTAGGCACCTTCCTCCAGCTTTTCTGAGCCTTCGTATCAGCTGGAGAGAACGCCTCACTGTTTGAGAGTTCTCAGTTCAGCTACCTGTGGTTCTACCGGGAGGCTGTTCTTTGTAAGGACATTCTCTATCGGCAACTCGATATGGGAGATACAGCAGGAGGTAGGCTAACAAGTCGTATAGACTTAGCTTCTGCTTGCTAGCACCACCCTGAACAGCAAGCGAGATCTAAAAAATAAAGAGGCTGATGCTGTTAAAACGGGAACTTGTAAGGACCCAGGTAAGAAATCCAAGGAGAAAGGATATTTCACCAGCACAGGCCATTTTCTAAAGTTTATTGTCTAAATCACGTGTGAATGAATGTCAACTGGTTCAGGGCTTTCTTTTAAAAGGAAAATCGAAACTGTTTCTAAAAGGTGGCTACTCAAATTTGATCCTAATGTCACATTCAGAGAAAACGTCAGCATAACAGTAAACATCAGTACAACGCCTAGAGTTTACAAAATTCTTCCTGTCTATTCCATCCCACTAACTGGCCTGCAGGGGAGATGGTATCATGGTCTCCGCTTCTACAGATGTGCAGCTAAGCCCGACGTGTCGCTTGAGGTCTCAGGGCAGATAAATAGCTAAACTATTGTGACTCCAACTCTAATAGTCTCGTTAACATCCCAAAGTTCCCTTCTGAAATTTTACTAACGAGCTTCATATTCTACTTCCCAAATACGCTCTGTACTAGCCAATCACATAAGAGAATCGTCTTCTCCCAAATTCAACAGGACCTGTGGCCGAACCCATTAAGGAGACCGCAGTTGGGGGGTGCCTTCGGATCCAGCGAGTCCTCACCTTCAGAACCTTGAGATAGGGCAGTCCGTCAGGCCCGTATTTACTGCCATTCTTCTCCACGTGTTTGATCCACTGGATGTGGGGCTGAGCATCGCTGTAAACTTTGCAGACAAACTCCACATCGCCCCCGACCACGGTGGAGGCGTTGGCGGGCAGTCCAGCTTGGAGGATGGGCCGGTGTGGCGACCTCTCTGGTGGAGAGAAAGATAGAAAGGGGCAGTGGGATGGGAAGCGGGGAGAGAGAGATAAATAAGTTGTGTCGTCCAGAAGGCTGTTTGCAAACTCTAGCCAAAAAGGCCTCAAGTCTGCTGGCTGACTTCTTTGAAATAACACGCCCCCCAATGGAGAGCAGAAACGACTTCAAAGCAGACTGTTGGTGCACGACCCTCATAAAAAGGATACTGATTTAGAAAACTGGGAACAAAACTTATCGTATCTCAAGTTATTGGTCGTCCATGGCCACCTAATGAACAAGGGAAAAGATTTTATTTAGACGAACTAAAAGACCAACTGCAGGGAGATGGGCACCTCTTCACTTAATTCCATTTGGGGTGATATTGAAATTCGCCTTGACCATAAGCTCCACATCATAGGCTAGTGACAAGACCAACTTTATGGTCACCCTGAATACCAAAAATGACTCCTACACACAGTGCTCCCAATACATTTCTTAGATGCTCTGAAAAGACTTTTATTCCTTGTTTTTAAAAGAAAATAAACTAAAAGCTTAAAAGACCAAAGTTCTAAACGGATTGAATGAACAATGGTTTTATCTCTTTACCGTGAAATTCACTCCATTCATTCGTTTTTAATCTGCCCATTTATTTCCTTGATAAATATTAAGTGCTACTGTGTGCCAAATGCTCGATGCACAAGTAAACGTCCCTTGGCTTGTTCAGCCTGACGCTGAAAGAAGCATAGAGAGACTCCAGTTCCCAAATCCTGGTGACATTTCAGACGGCCTTAAAGGAGGCCCTACACCAGGCAGGCTACCAATGACTTCCCACTGCCATTTGCCTTGCCTCTCTCTCCAGGGAAAAAGCTCTCGACAAAAGATACCCCCTCTTGTCTCGTGCCTGAAAGGTTCCTCTCCAGTTTAGAGGTGGTCTCTGCAGAAATCTTGAAGGGGCAACCACATCAAGGTGTGTAAGTAACTACACGCAAGGGTCCTCAAGGATCAAGTGACAGAGTAGCCTGCTGTGTGATCTTGTCCACATAAGTACAAGCTATAAGTACAAGCACTATAAGTACAAGCTAACTGGGACCTTCCTACGTGGCAGCTTGGTCAAGAGCCACACACATCCAATCATCCTTCCATTCACAAATTATCACTGCATCCCCACAGACCTGCACGTACCAGACCATCCTCCCTGTCACCCTCCCCACACAGTGGGTGCCACCGCCTTTAACCTCCAGCTTAAAAAATGGCCAAGGGAAATGAGGATGTCCCAAACAGCCCACACACAGATGACACCTCCGCACGGCACCTCGGTGTCCCCATGCACTGGGCTGGGACTGCCAAATTAGAGTGATAGATATCTAAGCCTTTCTATACGTGAGCCTTTCAGATTAAAATATCATTTAGTGGAATTTGCTGGACAAGAGCCAGCCCATGTGCAAATTGATTTTACTGCACAAGCCTGTTGGTCTTTAAAAACTTAAAAAAAAAAAAAAAAGATAAGAAAAAGTGCTAGTGGTTACTCTCAGCCCATTTCATTCCAGAATCTCCCATCACGTCACAGACACCTACATTTTTACATTAAAAAGATAAGGATTCCAGAGCCCCCAAAGAAGTCATTCATTTGCCCCAATATATTACCCAGATAGGCTGAGCGAAGGACGCCGAAGTCGAGACTTCTGGTTTCTGTGGGCAGAAAAATCTCAAAGCTGGGGACCCTTCAAGTATCATCGAGAAACCCTCACGCTTTGGCTGACCTCCTGGTCAGACCTGGCAGCCAGCTGGATGCCACAGGGACCTGCTGACAGCTGGCAGGGATGGTCCCGGCTAGACCCATCCACGTGAGAACACAGTTAAGTCCCCACACACTCTCCCGCTCCCAAGAGACTTAATAGTGCCAGGGAAGCTGTCCTCTGGGCTGGATACTGACAGCCACGCTCACTAAATACGCCTCTTTGTACCTATCAAACCTTGAGGTGGTTTAGTCCATCCCATAGAAAAGTGAATTTTTGGTATCAATTCATCCCCTGGCTCGGTTTTCCAGTTTTGCACGCCTGCGTTTGTATGCTCAAAGATAAATATTTACAGTGGGCCTAAATATTTATTCTTAGAAACAAAGGTACTATAAAATCTTAAATGTCACAAGCCAGATCAACTGAATTTCAAACCACGTTCTCTTTCTTAAACATACTTGTTTCTAATAAATCTTTCCACAAGCAAACATTGTGCACATAATACCAAATCACGATGTCCCTCAAACAATGGGCACTTTCAGACGGCCTCCAACGGGGAGTTTAGACACTGGGCAACCCTGGCAGGGCCCGCTGCAGAGCTGCAGTCTTGTTTTAGTTGTGGTCAATGCGCTGCTGGAGCTCCAGTTAGTAATTGAGTAATTCCATTTCTATCAGACTATGAAAAAAAAACAACAAAAAAAACAACCTTCGCAATGGTTTAACATTATTGCATTTGCAAATTACAGCCCACCAAATGTCACCTGCTTGCAGTCTTGAATTCATCCTTTCAAATTTTCTCACCTTATACAAAATAACCTCTTAACCACCCCATTCCCCCTCGGCCTTTTCTCACTTTTGGTACAGAAACTGTAGGCGGATCACTCCGTAATCGAAACCTTACACCATCTTCCAAAACTTATTACAGCTGCCTTCAGTATAAAATGAAACCTTAGAGAATGTTATTTAAAATGTTTTTAAAAAGTCAGTAGGCCTCATGTTTCGTTTCTCCACATCAGGCTTTGATTTCCTTCGCAACCTTATTCTCTGCCCTAAAACGAGTCGGCAAACGAGGCCTGAAACATCTTGGAAAAGGTCCCGGATGCCAGCATCTGCAAAGCACGGCACTCCGCTTCTCAAATCCTTCAGTGATCACTCTTCCTTGGTGTCCATCAGACCCCCAAGAACAGTGATCAGTTGTAGGGGATGACAGTGCCTGAGCTCCTGTGCTGACTTCTGAAAACCTGGGGTGAAAGCAGGGTGCAGCCGGCGGCTGGGGGAGTGGGCCGTGTGGCAGGTCCTGCAGAGACGGGAAGAGCAGGCGGCCCCCGAGGCGGGGCCCAGGGGGAACGGGGCAGTGATGGTGGGCACGAAGACCCCGCGACAGCTCACGCGCTCTCCGAGAACCTCACTGGGCCCTGGGCAGACTGAACGCCTCAGGTTTGCAACACTTCGGGCAGCCAGCTAATATAAAAAGAATCAGTCGGAGAATTATCTCCGGATGAGAATAAAGCCCAGAGTTCACTCATCTCTTGTTCTCCTACGCGATAACAGAAATCACATCTTCTCCACCAGAAAGGATTTAGCTTTAGGCAAGATTCTCTTACAGCATGTTGAACCCTCTGATATTATACAAAACAGATTTTTCTTTTTAAAGGAGATCGATATATGGGAAACAGCAAAGCTGATGAGCATCTCACCTGTGTCTTCACTGCAATTTTAAAAGTACACATTCTGCGTTCGGCAGGCTGCGGATGTACAGTGTGCATGGGCCTGAAGGGGCTGGGAACCTTTAAAATCAGCATTCGAAGGTCCCTGTGTGAATTCCAAATTAAGACAGAATGGGAAGCCGCCCAAAGGGTGCGGTTGCTGCCGACGGGACAGTTGGCTGCACTGCTGGAATGAGGTTCCACCAAATAAATGCATAGTAAACACAGACTGAAGTGCTGTAAAAAATATTCTCTCCCCGGCGTTCTCGCTCCCACTCCTTCTTGTCAAGTGCTCCAAATGAGTCTATTTCACCGAAGCAGAAGGCCCAGCTGCCCAGAGTCTGACTATCGAGACCGACTTTCTCCCCAAAGCTGGAAGCCACACAGGACGGCGGGAAGAAAACAGTCTGCTTCATTCCAAGAAGTTAATTGTAGAGAGAGAGAATACCTGAGTGACAAACAATAACTCTTTCTTAATTGACCACTGAAACTTTATCGCATGCCAGGCCTCCTCTGGACGTAATGATATGTTTGCTCATAAGAGATGTACAACGTCTGCAAAGGCCATAAAAAATGTCCGCAGAGCAGAGGCTTCACGTCTGCCGCCTCAGTAACTACACAGCCCCAGGATCAGAAGGAGAACCAGGTTCTTAACTGACCTCTATAAATTACTCAAGCCCAGAGTGGCCGCTCGCCCAGCACACACGGGTCTTCCATGTATTCCTCCCCAAAAAGTTAAGCAGTGCTTGCCGCAAAGCACCATTTCAAAGCTGCTCTCTCTGGCAGCAAAACACCAAGAGACTCAAATCACACCGAGTGGCCAGTACTGACCTGGGAACAGCCAGTCTCCCCTCTCGAGCACCCCATTCATGTAAGGAGCACAGAGAACTCTGCCTGCCCTGTCTTTAAATTAAAATCAAATTTTAATTACCCGTCCTCTAAAATGGCAGTTTCTTAGCAATTCCAAGGGGCTGAATAGAGAGAGAACACTGCCATTTGGAGGACAAGTGAGAATGACCGAGAATTCTTTTTTTTTTTAAAGCCCAGCCCAGCTTTTTTTCTCGAGAGTAGGCGGTGGTTGCTTTTGTTGCACTAAAACCAGTTAGCATGAGGCATGGTTATTAGGGGCAGGCCGATCAAAGCCCTCTGAAGTTCGAGGAGCCCAATAACCTGCTAAAGACCTCACGCTAATTACAATTAGTAGAATGAGTTCACTGCCTTGTCAAGACTCTGCCTGATGCACTCAAACCAGATGGGCTCGATCTAGTTGGGCTCTGAGTTTTGCTTTGCCTAAGCTTTCTCCAGCCTCGTAGAGATTGGCACCAAAGGAGGTCAGAACTAAAACTCATCAGTAGAAAAAGATACGGTTAGGAAGGAGAGAGAGAGGGAGCCTACCCTTTCAGAAAGGGTCAAAGTGCCCATCGTCGATATTTTGGCTTGTGTTCTTCTAGAAGAGACAAACGGACTGGGATGCTGGGCCCCTGGATTTTTTTTTTTTTTTTTAAGGAAAAGACACATTTTTGTAGAAGGTGACTAGTCTGCTACTTGTTCACCGTCCTAGGCTTAGCCTTATT